ATGACGAAACGTAAAATGACACTTGGTTCAATGGATTTAGCATATTGCCGAAAGCTGAAAAAAATAGAAGAAAGAAGATTGCGATATTTAACATTTATTGAGCAACAAGAGAAGAGTTTTTATCATCAGAACAAAGTGAGGTCTCTTCTTGTAAGGATTCTGACTAATCAGCAGGCAAAATTAAATCAGGTGCTAGTGCTTCAACAGTGTTACCTAAAAAATTTGCAAAAGAAGTTGCAATTACAGGTGTTTCTAAAAATATTTCACCTAGAAATATGATGCACTTGCTCTCTGACATAGTAGTTACTTCTGGGGGCAGTTTAACAGATTTCTCGCTTTCTGAATCTACTATCAGATGTGCATAAAAGAAAGCAATAAGTACAAGTGCAGCTGAATATCGAGAAGATATAATAAAAGCTGCAATTTAAAGTAAATTTCCAATAATTGCACCCTTTGATGGAAAAATCTTGCAGGATATTACTAACAGTACAAAACAAAAAAGAGATCATTTTGCTGTTCTTGTAAATATTGATGGTGATTTAAGACTTCTTGGCATTCCGCCAATGGAAAATTATACTGGAAAATCTCATCATAATACTTTAATAAACATTTTGGATGAATATAAGCTAAGAACTTATATAAAGGGTCTGTGCTTCAACACAACTTCAACTAATACAGGGAAATATTCCGGCACAAACATTAGGTTTTGTCAAACACAGGGTTCAATTATATTACAGCTTGCATGTCGAAGACATAATTATGAGCTTCACTGTAAACATTTTTGGGAAAAAGTTCACATTGGTAAAACTTATGCTCCTGAAAATCTGATGTTCAAAGTTTTCCAAGCTAATTGGAACGCAACAAAGGAAACTATGGATAAATCAAAGTTCAAAAAGTTTGACTAAGCTGCAGGTAAAGGAACATTTCTAGAAAAACAGATCGAAAAAACTGTTCAATTTTGCAAATATGCACTTGGCAATTTAGTATTTCCAAGAGGTAAATATAAAGAACTGGTAGAACTTGCACTCACCTACTTATGTCCAGATGTAAGCTTTAATGTTTATGCTCCCAGATCAGTATCTCATGCTCATTTTATGGCAGACTATATATTAACTTAAAATTCAAGTTTTAAGTAATCAGTTGCCCTACCATTGACAGCTTGTTTACAAAATGAAATCAGTAAAATGGCAGAATTTATTTCTGAATTTTATACTGTGTGGTTTGTGCGTTCCTCTTTAGTTTCCTCTGCACCTTATCAAGATTTAAATGCGTACTGGTAGATGGTCCAGTATAAACGTTGGGTGGAATCTTATGATCCAGGAGCTAATGATGTACTAGAAGGATTTGAAGAAGTATTGAAATCAATAGAGAGACATATGTGGTATTTGGATCAAACCTTGATTCCATTATGTCTCGCAGATAAAAACTCAAAGATGATGAGAAAGAAAAAGTTGCAAAAGTTCTTTTCTCGCAACCTGTTCCTACCTACTATGAGAAGTTTGAAAATTCAATTCTTCTGAAAGATCTAGACTTCACCCGGGAGAAACCACCTAGCTTGTCACAGTTGGTTGGTAGGAACTCGTGGTTTATTTTCAGTCTCTTAAATTTGAGCAAAGACAATGATAAACCTTGGCTGAACTGTCCTTCATCTTTTTTGGGCTTTATCGACCAATTTAAAACTTTCATTGAATTTGTTTGCCGAATATATGTTGTCAACGACTGCTCTGAGCGAGCAATTAGGCTTGTGTCAGAGTTTTTTAATTCTGTTCACAATGAAGAGGACAGGCAAGATTTACTGTTGGCCGTTCAGCATAGTAGGCATAAATTCAGGGAATTCGAAAAAGTACAAACTACGGATAGTGGCAAAAAAAAAATGGCGCTGACAAAGCATAGTTTGGAGAAGATTTATTCAATTTTTCACCAAAAACACGAAGAAAAGATTGTTGAGTTATAGTTTTACAAACTGTTTTTGAAGAAAATTTTTTCTTGATTATTTATTACTAATTTATCACTGTTGACCTTAACAATATCATTATATATATATTTTTTAGCAGAAAATTTATCATTTTACCTTAACTATCTCAGCTACAATTGTTTCATTAAAACGCTTATTTTGCAGCGCCTATATGAAAATCTAATCTAACTATATGTAAAAATAAAACTTTATAGCAGATGGTACATAAATATTTGGTAAAAAAAAGTAAAATAGATGGAGGAGAGGGAGTGAAAGAAACGAACTCTCCGCTGCCTACCACTATCCCTCCTATGTTAGAAATTATTTTCCCTATAGGGTTTCCTATGGTAAAAATTAATTTTAAAATTGAATTTTGGATCAAATTAATCTTTGTAAACAAGAATTTGATAAAATTTGTCACGAAAAGTTTGAGTGATAAAAAAAATTGGTCAATAGATATATTCATAAAATTACCTAAAATTAAAAAGTTTTGCCCATTTTTCCAGTTTCAAACCAATTCACTTTTGAAAAACTTGTAAGTAAAGTATGGCATGAATTCGTTTTTAAATCTTTTCTAATTTTTTTAGAATAAATAGTTCGAAAAAGAAAGATTTTTTTGTTTGTAACAAACGTGAGTTAAATTCAATCGCAAGCGTCATTTTATTTAAATATATACTGAATTAGTGCATTTTAAGCTATTTTTCTTAACCTAAATTAGTATATATTTGTTTATTGTAAACTTCCCAACCGATTCCAAATTAATATTTAGGCCTTTTAGAGTTCATAGAAGAAATATTGGTGTTTTATGTCAATGTTTAAGGTCCCCGCTTTTTGGTTTGAAAAATTGGGTTTTTGCGGCACAAATTGTAAAAGCAGGGACCTTAAAAATGGGTTTCAAAAAGGTTTTTTTAGCGTAAAATCATTTTTATCCAACCCGTCAACTAATCCAGGTGGTTGGGATTTAGTTTGAAAAAATTGTTGAAAAATGACGCACCCTATATATATATTATATATATATATATATATATATATATATATATATATATATATATATATATATATATATATATATATATATATATATATATATTATATATATATATATATATATATATATATATATATATATATATATATATATATATATATATATATGTATATATATATATGTATATATATATATATGTATGTATATATATATATATATATGTATATATATATATGTATATATATATATATATATATATTATATATATATATATATATATATATATATATATATATATATATATATATATATATATATATATATATATATATATATATATATATATATATATATATATAATATATATATATATATATATATATATATATATATATATATATATATATATATATATATATAGAATTGATAGATAGATTAGGGTGGTTCTAAAATCAACATTAAAAAAAAAATAAATGATGGCACCCCTACATGTGTTCTTTGTAATAAATTAATACTACATTAAAAGCAGTCGCTCAAGATCCTTAAACATCAAACGGGTCCCTAATATAAAAAAAAAAAAGTTCTTTAAAAGCATATTATTTTGCCTCTCAAAGGAAGTGAAGTTTTGTAAAACATCCAAAAACTTGAGCAACCCCTAAAAAAGTTTTTATTCAAAACTTTTTAAAATGTAGTATTAATTAATTACATAGAACACATTTAGAGGGTTCCATCGAACATTTTCAAAAAATGTTGTTTTTAGAACCACCCTAAACTATATATATATATATA